CCCTTGTTGCTATTATTTGCAGGCCTATCGAGTTAAAATTTTTTTAGTTTTATCAACGCAATTATATCTTATTATTGTCCTATGAAACTAAAAATCCTAAAAAGTTTTTTTATTATAGTTAGAATATATTTCTATATTATCAACAATAATTGTCAGTTTCTAACTTACAAGGAGAAATCATGGTGATGGGATCGCCGATTTTCAAAAAAATTATATGAATCTAATCTAAATTGAATATAAAATTGTATTTACTTTGAATTTTTTTAAACAAGAAAAATTACTTAACAGACAAATAACCATTTGAACTACCTTAAATAGTCTTTTTTATCCTATTTCTTTCGAAGCAACCTGTGGGTCAATGGGTCACGTACGANATAGTCTTTTTTATTCTATTTCTTTCGAAGCAACCTGTGGGTCAATGGGTCACGTATGAGTCCAAAGCGCTAGAAGTACAGGGTTCAAATCCCGCGTAGCGATCTACTTTTTGCATTTTTTTAATATATTTATAAAACATTTTAAAATATTGTCACAATATATTTTTTATAACATTTTAGAAATATACCTTTAAAATATTGTGAGAATGTAATATTCGCTGCCAAAGTATATTCTGAGAACATTGTGAGAATATTTCAATATATTCTGGTTATATTCTAGAAATATTTTAATATCAAAAATAAATATTCTAGGAATATTCTAGAAATATTTCATTGCTATGTGGGTAGGGTCATAAAAAAACATATACGCAGAAATTAGCTCCCTGGGCTTGCACTTAAATTAATATGTCGTAAATTGTCACAAGAATTACAGGCAGCTCGCCTTGGCGTCTCGAACGTGTGAAAAAATGTCGTAAAACGGTGAAAAATAAACGGATTCAATAGATTTTTGTATGATATCTGAGAAATGTCATTGAGCGAGTCTGGTCAAAATTTCAAACCTTAGGTTGCAAAACGTTCGCTGTAAAAATTTTCGGACCTTCGTCTATACTTTTGATTTATCAGAGTATTATAGGAACAAAAGTTATGTTACAATATTACAGCGATAAATTAATAAAAAGTCAATATAAGTTAACTACAAATTATTCATTTTTAGATTGTTGGAAATAAAAAAAAACAATAATTCATAATTAAAACTTATTTACTCTTATATATTTATCGCCAAATATAAAGTATTTATAACGACCAACTAATATAAAATCTTTATTAGTGAATTTTTTTTAGTTTTCATATATGTTTAAATCTAATACGCATTAGGAAATACTGTACTCTAATAAAATCGTGTATTCATAAATGGATTATTCAAAAATTTTACTTAGATTACTTTCAATATTATTATATTTTCGGGAAAATAATTGTTCGGGAGAATCAAAGAAGTCAATAAATACACAAGAACTTATCGTAAAACTCAATGATATATTATCGTTTACTGATTCATGGAAAACATTTTCTAACATCAATGTTAGATTATTATATGATTTAAAAGATCGTAATTATTCAGTAGTCCATTTATTTGAATATCTTTTTAGTATTGAAAATACGGTCAATAATAAAAACGAAATGGCAGGCAACTCTACACAATGTAATTATTATTCAGCCATTAAAGCTAACTACGGACATATATTAGAGTTAGTTATCAATATGGTCAAATGTAAGTACATAGAAAAAATAAAAGTGATCTTAATGTTATTACGGTTACTAGTATCTGATTTTATTAATATGTTTATGATGCCAAATAAACAACCGTTGACCACGATTGATATAATAGAAAAGCTCAATGTAATACAATTAATTGAAAAATCAATTAGTCGTTTTAAATTCCTATTAGATAAAATGATGATTGTCCTGGAAAAACTTCACGATATGGACACAGGATATTACATCAACTTAACATTAGTTCATCAACTTAAAAATATTCACGAGACATTTAACGACACATTTCACCCAAATTATGATAACCCGGACGAGATCAATGAACTGTTAAAAAAATTATTTCGTTATATTTGTTCAACGGCATCAAAATTTTGTTCAATTAATATATGTTTACCCAATAAAAAAAGTTTAGATACTGAATTTAAACAGCAAGATGAAAAAAGTTATTTTAATTTCATAAGTGAGAAAATTAACAATACAGTAAATGAAACTATAAATATGTATACCTTTAATTTGCTCAACATTAACTAATTAAGTTATTTAAGTATTCTAATAAAATCAAATATTTAATGATATTAATTAATGTAATGGCGTTTTAAGAAATTTTGTAAGGGTAGGGGGGTGTTCAGATAATATTTAGAATTTAGAGTAGTTGGAGAATCTCATATTTATATTTCATAAATAAAATATTTTGATGTCATTTAACTTACATAACTAAATTACATAAATGTATAATAAAATTAATATTATAAAAATTCTTTTGACCGATTTTTATTTGGACTGATATTATAATATTGTAAATTTTACAGAGAAATTATAAATATTTATTAAGTTGTTATGTTACGTGATTCTTTTAATAATAGCTACTAAATTTTTCTTAAAATAATAATTATATTGAGAAAATTTGTTTTGTTATTTTACGTTAGAATATTTTTAGAATAGTCAAATTTTAATATTACTGCTATAACAGTAATATATGATTTTGTCCATGAACGTGTTAATTTTATATATTTCTTTATTTATTAATTATTAAGTTTTTTTTAATATATTTCTTATACCTTACTAGGATACAAAATTAATTTTTTTAAACTCCTATATAAAAATTTAACTAGCTTATAAAATAAAAATTATCTAATTATAATAACAAAACAAAGAGAAANGTTTAAATCTTTTTTAAAATTAGCTATTCAACATTTTCGCATAGTAGACAAATCATCGTAACTTTTTTAAATAATATCTGACGTTAAAAACAACTTTAATTTAGTGTAGTTATCGATACGCGGAACATTTTTAAAAATTGAGTTAAAATTTTTTTTGTGTATGCGTGAATGGTCTCTTTCTTGTATTTAGGTTTTTCACTAGAAGTAGTATATAGAAAGCGGGAGCTGGCACACAAAGGTGCCGCGGTCATTGATTTGTTGTGCTAGGTCGTTTGTATACACGTGTATATAGGATGGTACAGATCGCACGTGTATGAACCGGAGGCTGTGTAGGTGCTATTAATGATTATGTCACCAACTTTAAAATTTTTGAAGGATATCTTGTCTATATCAGAATGTATCTCATAAGTGGACATTCAATTAAATATACAGTGGAGCCCCGGTAATCCGACAAACGTTTTGCAGGTCAGTATCGAACTATCGAATTTGTCGGATTATAGAGTATTCCCTAAGGCATCCTATAGTCCGGAAATTTTAACAAAAGGGTACTTTGTAATCCGAAAAATCATAAATCCAAAGATAAGATTTGGTCTTGATAGGCCCTGGTGTGAAGTACAAATAATGCTTCATTATGTATGTCGACTTAAGTAAATTAAACAACACAATAGAAAGCTTATGTTTTATTATATAATTAACGTCATTAATGCTAGAGAACTTAAAAAAAATAATAACTTTACATTAAGGAATACAATTACAATGCAATTGTGTTTAAACAAATGTACATACTAAAATAGTCAAAAATTATAAATGAAAATCATGATATGAACTTTAATAGCATGAAAATATTTATCAATTTTTCTTTGCTTAACATTATTCAAACGTGAGACGAATGCTCTGTCCCTCAGTCTTCTTAAAAGTAAAAGTTCGTTGTAGGATACACCATTCTCCTCAGCCCATTGCAAACCCAGTTCAAAGGCTGTAGCTGCATCTTATGCTATCACTTGTGGAGTAGTTGCAATTACGTCGTCGTCATCTTCCTGATTTATGGTTGTATTACTAGATATCTCTTTTATAATCTCATCGTCAGACATGTGATAAAAAATATTTTCCTTCTTATCCAATCCATGATACCAGATTTCCAAATCTTGCGATCTTATCTGTGTTTCAGCAGCAACTTTCTCTATTACTTCCGAAGTTACACTGATTTGCGGATCGTTGCTAGGACTGTTGACTATATCCGGCCATAACTTTTTCTAATACGATGTAATAGTTGACGAAGGTAATACATTCCACGATTGACAAAGAGCAAAAACCAATTCTTTCATATTGAATTCTTTTAAAGTTTTTTCTATTGGCTGATCTTTTGATACAGCTTTCAGAAGTAGATTTTTCTTATAATCTTGGTTGACAAACTGAATGATATGCTGATCCATTGGTTGTATCAGTGCAGTGCAGTTTGGCGGAAGAAACATCACAGTAATGCATTTATCCTCAGTTGTCAGTTCTTCTTCAGACGGATGACCGGGAGCATTATTTATTGATAACGCTTTTTTAAGAAAATTATGATTTTTCAACCATTTTTTAACTTCTGGGATAAAGCATTCATCAAACCACTTTTTGAAAAGGTCTTTTGTCATCCACGGACTTTTTTGACCATAATAATGTACAGGCAAATCAATGTTTTTGAATGCACGTGGTTTATTCGATTTTCCAACGACCAACATTTTTAGCGCGTGTGTACCCGCATCATTTGCACATGGTAGTATGGTTACACGCTCTTTACTTACTTTTCGCCCACGTACGGATTTTTCGTTAAAGGAAACGAAAGTTTTGTTTGGTATAACATGCCAAAAAAGTACTGATTTGTCTGCATTGTACACTTGAAGAAACCACATGTACAAAGCTTCTTTCACTTCTGGATGTTCAGCTTTCTTGAGTGTCTGTCTCTTGTCTGGCCCACAGTCAGTAGTTGATACGAAGTTTTTAATCTTGTCATGATTTTTTTTAATATCATAAATTATAGATCGGCCTACGCCATATTCACTTGCTAAACTACTAAAAGATTCATTACGATTTAAACGGTCTAAAATATCATATTTTTCTTTAATTGTCAGTGTTTTTTGCTTTCGCTTCTGGACTTGTGACGACATAATATACTAGGCACGTATACGTAATACACAATGAATAAACAGTACACAAAGAATCTATACTTTGAGCACAATAGTGATGGCACAATTGTAACCTGTTCAATCATGCATTATCTACATTATCGAAGATTGTAAAAAAAATACTCAATAATAATAGACATGTCGGATTACAAGGGGCGCCGGATTAACCAGGGGCCGGATTACCGGGGGTCCACTGTATCTAAATTTAAAGTGGAATAATAATTTTACACTATTTTATTTATTTTTGTCGTGGTAAAATGTTTTTATAGTTTACTATTTAATTTAATCGGTTATTGCCCAAAAAAAAAATAGAAAGTAAAGTTATTTACAAAAATCCGCAGTTTTTGTAAATCCTATGGGTTACATAAGTACTTAGTTGCAGTAATTTTTGTATTTATATGTACTTGAACTCTGTTGTATAATAGAGCTTCGTGTATTTTATTCATATGAATATAGTTAAACTTCACTTTTTTTTTTTTATGTTAATTAAAGAGTAGCTAAAGTGGAATAATAATAATAATTTAACTCTATTTTATTGATAAGTTTTCGTAGGGAAATATTTCGAAATTTTCATATTTCCAAAATAGAAATGCGCTATTTTGTATATTTTATTATGTTTCTTTTTTTTATTTATGATTATTGCTTTTTTAAATGGAAACGTAATATTAAAAAAAAGTATGGGAAAACGTTTAAACTTTTTTGTATAAAAGAATGATTTTTCTACTGATGAGATCAATTTGGTTTTCATATTCCATCGAATCATTTGGACACTAAATATCTACTGAACATAATTCAAAATCTATTGAACATCAAAGCTGAACATTGTTGTTGTTGCATCTCTTTCGCAGTAAGTTACTTTTTACACTTTTTTTTTTTTACATTTCATTAATATTTAAGTTTTAAATTATTTTATTAAATATTAGTAATTTATTTGAACAACTTAAACAATTTTTGTTAAATTTTCTATAAAAAAATCTTTTTATAATATTATTATTATTACATGTAAAATACAGTATGTTAAATCAACCATTTAATATATCGTTTGTAGACGAAGAACCTAACCTTTATGATATCTTCCGTGAGAACCGTATTTCTACTTATAAAAATATATCCATGTACCCCGAACAATTTAATGATAGAATTTTTGTAAATTTAAGAAATATATTTAATCTTAAACGTGGATATCCAGTTATAATATTTTTGTATAAAGACGAATACAAAATATCATGTGGTTCAAATAAATGTAATGCAAATATTTTTATACAACATAATTTAAAATTTAAATTTAAAATTAAATTAATAGAAAATGTAAAACATGTAAAATCTTTAAGTACAAATTTAAAATGTACAACGTGTGGCATTCGTTGTAGCAGAATGCTTTTTAACTTTAAATATTTTGAAAAAAACTGTAACGAAAATAAAATAGAGTTTCCTCAAAGTTTAGTAGACACATTAGGAATAAAATTCATTACAGATGATTTTCATCATTTTTAATATATATATATATTTATTACTGGCTATTTTTATTTTATATTCAATGTAATAATTTATCTTTTTAATTAAAAATTATAATAATAATAATTACATACTAATTAATTTTATGTTTATTTAAAAATTAAAAACCTAATGTATGAGTTTTATTTTGAATTTTATTCACTGTAAGAGGTACGTAAACACGATTGTATTTATTGTAGATAATGAGTCTATTAAAAAAATTACAAGCACAGTCAAAATCCTATAGATTTACAAGTATGTCGGAATTGGAAACAAATAAACCATATCGTATAAGACGTTTTGAAGGAAAAGAGCTTACACATGGTTACACAATAATCGTCTTGTTAGAAGATAATAGAAAAATTTGTTTACCGAAGACGATATACTTGACTGAAACTGAAATAGAAGATTATAATAATAATAGTTTAGAAATTTACTCTTTAATTTTTCATGGTAAACTTGGTAAAGCATTCAACTTTACTATACAATAAGATTATATTTATATTGTTTCGTGTTAAAATAAATATATACAATACAATAATATATTTTTTTATAAAATAAAAAAAAGAAACTCATACTCAAGGTTATTTTTTATTATATATATATACATATATGATTGAATATTTATAAATAATTACAATATAATCATGGTTTACATTTCTTATTGATTGAAAGTATGTTAAGTAGTATGTGTATAATAATATAGATGTTATAAAAAAGTCATTTCATTTTTTTTACAGTTATATAAAAAAAAAAAAATTTTAAAAATGAATCATTTACAAACATTATGTGGATGTGGAATGAGTTTTCCAAATACACAACTACTTATGCAACACTGTTCAATCAATAAAAATCACAGACCTTCGATACTACATTATACATCTAGTGTCCCCATCGATAAACGAACATTAAGCAATAATACTTTTAAAAATAATAGACTGACTAAGAGGCAAAGAATGAATATGTGTACAATAACACCATCTACAAGTGGTGCTGGTGTTGGTTTGGTTAATGACGGTTTAATACAAAATAATGGTTTTGTAAAAGTGAACTCGGCTTTCGAAGATAGAGTTCAAATATTTTTTATTAAAAACAATTCCGATATTGATAATATTACAGAGTATATAGATTATATTCAGGATGATATAAAACAATTATTGAAGGACGTTACATCATCTTGTATAATTAAATTTAATGTTGTGTTGGAAACAACTTATTACCATAGTGTTCACGATGAAGTCAAAGACGTTGCGTTTAAAACAAGTAACAAGAGAATAGATAACAATACAGACTTTTCTAAAATAATTGAATCGATGGTTTTAAAACTTGAAGACGAAAAAGATAAAATGGAAATCAAAAACTCTGGTTGGTCATTAATGTTTGTCGATGGTCTTCAAATACGTGTACATAAATACAATCCTTTAACTGGTGGCAACTATATTAAATTACCGTCTTCCATCGACAATAGAAAAGCTGTAATAAATGTTCAGAATTACAACGATAACATGTGTTTTAAATGGGCTGTATTAAGTAAATACATAACTGGTAAAAAAAACCATCAACGTTTAGATTGTCATTACACTCTTGTTGAGCGTGAAAAAAATTTTAATTTTTATAATATTGATTTTCCAACACCAATTAATCAAATTTCTCGCTTCGAACGTAACAACCCGACATTGTCAATAAATGTTTTTGCTTTAGATTCAAAAAACACGGTGTTTCCCCTCCGGCTGACAAAATCACGAGATAAAAATATTGAACATATTGATTTATTATTTTTGAAGGATAGTGATGATAACAGTCATTATTGTTACATCAAAAACTTTTCACGTCTCGTGACAAAACAACGTAGTAAAAGAAAACAACGTGAATACTACTGTAAAAGATGTTTGGCCGTGTACACTGAAACTCCATGATTGTTTAAACCTTATGGAAAATGGGGACTTGAAGAGCATATGGAGAAGTGTGATAAGTTTAAAGAAGCTAAAGCGATTTTACCTGTACCGGGCACAGAAAAGTCAATTTTGCAATTTAAAAATACAAGACGTGAAGAGCGTGTTCCTGTTATCGTTTACGCAGACATGGAGTCAGTTTTAAAACGGGTAAACGACAAGTTGAGTGTAATGACTAAAGTTAGTCAAATACATGAACCCTTTAGTTATTGTATTTATGTTGTGGCTGACGAAAATATCCTACCAGCCAATATTCGGTCTTTGCTGCCACAAAAACCTGTGTTATATCGTGGGCCAAACGTTTCAAAACATTTTGTATCAACATTGGTGGAACTGTGTAAAAAGGTTAGTGAAATTATGCAAATTAACATCGATATGTATGACTTAACCCTCGAGGAACAGGAACGTTTTAAAAATGCTACTGCTTGCGAATCTTGTGCCAAACCGTTTGTCGAGCATGAACAAAAAAACGACAGCAGATTTTGTACAAAAGTCAAAGACCATTGTCATTGGACTGGTAAGTTTCGTGCTGTTCTTTGCAACACATGTAATTTACAACGACGGTATCCAGCCTTTCTTCCGATCGTTATTCACGGGTTGAGTAACTATGACGGACATATGATTATTCCCGAACTAGCATTCGATGATAAAGATATAACAGTCATAGCTCAGTCAGAAGAACGTTACATATCGTTTAGTAAAACTATATCTAGTTATTTTCAATTACGGTTTATAGATTCGTACAAATTTTTGCAAGAGAGTTTGGCGAAACTTACATCAATATTGCAACTCGAAGATTTTATCGAGACGAAAAAGGTTTTTGATTCATTGGAACTGGTTACGAGAAAATCCGTGTTCCCGTATGAGTATGTAGACAGTGTTGAAAAACTAGATGAATGTCAATTGCCAGACCGTGACAGTTTTTACAGTTCTTTGACAATGTCCACGATTTCCAAAGAAGACTACGATCACGCAAAAAAAATGTGGAATTACTTTGAGTGTAAAACATTGGGAGAATATAGTGATAAATACTTAATGGTTGATGTAATGGTAAACGGTTATTATTAATACTCTTAGTAACATCTAGTTATACAATTATAATACAAAAAAAATTATTATTGATTTTCAGATACTAGCAGATTTATTTCAAAAATTCCGTTCGCAGTGTATGATAAATTACAAACTCGATCCTGCTCATTATTACACGTGTCCCGGCCTTACGTTTGACGCAATGTTAAAGTATACTGGTGTTAAACTTGAACTTATCACGGACAATGATATTTTGTTAATGTTTCAATCAGCTATTCGTGGTGGTCTTTGTCAGGTAGTTCAACGTTATAGTAAAGCCAATCACCCTGCATTAAATGACTACGATTCGAGCAAGCCTCACAAGTATATACAATATTTGGACGCCACCAATCTTTATGGTACAGCAATGATGGAACCTATGCCGTGTGGTGAATTTGAATGGGTTAAAGGGAATTTGGAAGAAATATTGAATACACCACATGACAGTGCGTACGGATACCTTGTTGAAGTAGATGTTGTTTATCCAGAATATTTGCACGATATACACAATGACCTACCCTTTTTGCCGGTAAACGATCGTTCACCTCTGGATGGTTCCAAATATAAAAAATTAATGGTTACACTAGATGATAAAAATAAATATATTGTTCACTATCGAGCTTTGCAACAAGCTGTTAAAAATGGTTTAGTTGTAACCAAAATACACAGAACAGTAAAATTCCAACAAAGTCGTTGGTTGGCATCATATATACAATTAAACACAAATTTACGAAAACGTGCAACAAATAAATTCGAACAAAGTTTGAGTAAAAATATGAACAACTCTTGTTATGGTAATAAAACAAAATACTTTTTTTTTTTTGTATATTAAACTATAAATTTTATGTTTTCAGGTAAAACATTGGAAGATGTACGACATCACCAAAATATTTATTTAGTGAGTTGTGCGAAAAAGCTTGCTCGTCTGGTAGCCAAACCATCGTTTAAAAGCGTAACAATTTTCACTGATAATCTTGTTGCTGTTCATATGTATAAAGAAAAGATACAATTTTTCAAACCGATATATATTGGACAAGCTGTATTGGACATAAGCAAGTGTATAATGTACCAATTTCATTATAAAACTATGCTAAAATTATACGGTCCAGAAAATATTAAATTAATATATATGGATACTGACAGTTTTATATATGAAATTGGTACAAATAATTTTCAAAATGATGTGCAAAACCATTTGTTACCATACTTTGACACATCAAATTACGATAAAAGTCATCCTTGTTATAGTAACACCAAAACGAAACAACCGGGTACATTTACCGACGAAGCTGGCGGTAAGCATATAGAGGAAATTGTTGCGTTATCACCAAAAGTGTATGCGTATACTATAAAATCTGATGGTGATGAAAAAAAGATATGCGAGGTGAAAAGACTGAAGGGAGTGTCAATGGGTGTCGTTGCGCGTACAATTGAAATAAAACACTATTTAAAGTGNTACAATTGAAATAAAACACTATTTACAGTGTTTGAAGGAGCAATTATCCATTAATCGTAAAATGTCAACAATTAGATCGAAAAATCATATTCTACAAACGATAGAAATGGAAAAAGTTGCTCTTACTAGTAAATATGACAAACGTGCACTAGTCGGTGGTGATGAAAAATATCCGAATGTATATACAAAAGCTTGGGGACATTATTCTTTGAAAAAAAAAAGTGAACAATGAATGAACAAATTTTTTTTTTTTTTTTTATATAATAAATTAATTTAAATTGTGATTGTATATATATTTAATTAAATTGTTACTTTTATAGATCAATATAATATATTTATCTGTGTGTAAAAAACAATTATTTTACTAAACAAATAAACTGTAATTTATTTTAGTTAATATGTATACATATATGTTATTATTTCATAATTATTTTTTGTAGTTATAGAAAAAAAAAATACAATATATTTTCACGGCTGTTCAAGTCGTTTATAATAAAATAAATATTGTTACATTAATTTAAAATAATTTCCTTAAATTATCATAGACTACATAATTAAATAAAAAAAGATTACAATATTTAATGAATTTGTAGAGAAAAAGTATTTATGATCTTCGAACGTCTCCACTAAATGGATTGTATTGTAATATACGATCGTGAATTATCAAACAGTATGCAGTAGTGGACGGTGGAAATTTTTCAGATGATTCAAAATCGATTCTCAAGTCTATGGTTGAGGTTTTCACGTCGTCTTTTTGTCGTGTACAATCAATGCAAAAAAGAGGACCATATTTTAAAAATTCTTCTTTATTGAATAACGGTTTAGATTTTTTTCTCTCATAATAATTTTGTTGAAAATTTATATAGTTTTGATAGAACAATGTTATTAATTTTTTATCGAAATTTTCATTAAAGTTTTCATAGGGATACTCGAATGAATTTAAATGCACCTTTAGATTTACTAGTGAGCATGAGTCAAATTTTTGTGTACGATCTCCTGATTCACTAGTTTCAGCCGTGTGAAAAGCTATTATTATATAACGGGGCCTGTCTATGTTAGAGGTTGATTTAACCATCCAACTTGTTCTCTCTGTATTCGGCAACTCTGGATAAACACACAAGTCCCAATTTCTAAACGCGCAATAAATATCTTTATGGTTTTCAACAATTTTTAACAGTTTTAATTTTTCGCGGTCATTAACTCGCACAACTGGTAATTTCCATACAACTTTTGTTAAAGTAACACTAGATTTTAAAAGTTCTTTTGCCTCGTCATTGGACCATGTAATACCACTACTAATTGTTGCTCTCAACACCGCTTTGTCATTTAATGCTCTATTCATTATAAGCTGATGGTTAGTTTGAATTAATATTTTCCTATAGTCTTCGGCGAAACCGAATATGTGTGACATTGGAATGCATCCCGAAAATTTAAAGTCTGTACTAGAATAATCGTTGTACGTTGAGTTAGGATCCCAAAAAGCGTTTTGAAGGTTATTTACATCGTTCAAAGAATAAGAGCAATAACCTTTCATCAAACTTGTCGTTCCTGGATCTTTTACTTTTTGAACTTCTACTCCGTTTATTTCATAAGATATTGTATCAAATAAGAAAGCTAATCCATTGTTTGCAATAGCTATTTTACCTACAGTCCCTGATTTTACTTTTACTTCACCTTCAATGTATATAAAACTTTCACAAAACAGAGTGTATGCATCGGTATTTTGTACGGCTATTCGTATTTGATCACCGTTTGAGAGCGCTGTAGTGGAAAATGGTAAATAGGAACGATAATGTAAATCCTCTATAGGCGATTCGTCTGTATATTTTTCCAATACATTCAAATAAGAACTATCTTTTTTTTTTTTTTTTATAATACACCTAATGATTTCAGAAATGACAAATTGTTTTTGGTTAACTTAATTCTTTTATTATTTTCTGAACACTTTCCCGGAGAAGGGTTATTTTGAATACACCGAGTATTTTTCAATTTATAAAAATTACGAGGATTTCTATTTAATAAACTATTTTTATTATTACTATACGTTTTTACGTTACCAATACTAACTGTTTGTTTAAAATTTTTAAATTTGAGACCCATCAACTCTCACGTTTCATATGTAAACGTACCGATAATGGTTCACCTCTTAAGTCGATTAAATTTCCGTTTTGATCTTTCAATGATACTTGTACTTGGCTTATAGATGTCGTGTTAAGAGGATAATAAACAGGGTTTAATATAACTTCGGATACGTGAAATCCTACTGGAACGTTCATGAAAAATTCGTGTATAACATGACTTGGCGCACCGTTATCAAATGAATCAGATACTAAATTACAATGAACTTTTATACAATTTACATTCATTATATTAACTGGATTTTCTGATATGTGTTTAACGTTAGCTGGATAAATTTTTTTTTCGAATCCCAATAGTGTGGCAATACTACCGGGTATAGAAAAGTCAATGTCCCTATTACATAACATTTCACATTTTAATGTTATTTGATTGGTTTTAAGTTGGAATACTATATTAAGTTTTGACATAAAATCCATTAAAAAAGTTTCTAAATCCAACAACTCATATGATCCCGTTGTAATAATAATTTCATAAATACTACCATCTTCTTTAGCAACACCTATTTTATTTCTATTTTCAGTTATATTAGGAATTGTATTGTTTGTTTGTAAACTTAAAAGACTTATTTTAGTTTTTTTTTCGGTTTGCAGAGGTGGAAAAAAGTCACATTCCAACTGTGATGAATTACCATTCATTGAAATCGATGTCATGGTGATAAGTTCGATAGAAATCTCAAACAGAGTTGACCACAATTCGTTGAATCGTATTTCTGATAATTATTGTAATTATATATTATATTACATCCACTTAGATATTTTTGAACTTCAGAAGGGGGTTTTAAGTTTCCAAAACTGTCAAAATATTTTACATCTTTATTAACTTTTCTAAAACATACCCAATGCGTGCCAAAGTTATTGACGCTGTCCAAATTTATAACCATAGACTCTATCCGCTTACACCGTTTTGGTAAATTATCTCTACAGTAGCAGCCTCTGAACTGAGGCATTTTCAACAATTTTGCATATTTTATTATTTCATAATCATACATTGCTTGTTTAGGTAACTCTATTTTTTGAGAGGTTTTTTTTTTTTACACTGTGAATACTCTCTCCTTTATAAGGTTTTAAAAACATTCCCTTTCCTTTATGATAAGGCTTCAAATGCATTCCTTTTCCCGAAGACAAATTTTTGTTGTTGCNTTTCCCGAAGACGAATTTTTGTTGTTGTTTTTTAATTCGTGCGCTGTCTTAATTATATTTGAAATACCTCCGGCCAATCCACCTAATGCGCTCAATGCAGAGAACAACGTAATTAAAGGTAAAACACCACCGTATTTAGGCGATGGAATGATCAGAATGAATTCTGGACAACGATTGTCGTTTTCTTTTTATACTTTTGTTTGATTTATTTTTAGAGGCCGTAAACATTTTTTTATCATTTTTCAACGTTTTATTTTTTAAATTATTCAAACCCATACGTAGTTTACGCTTCGCTTTCATACCTGCAGTGACAGCCAGTGCAGCTGCTTTTTCTTTTAACCCTGTCTCTTTTGAAACAAAAATATCCCAAGCTTGCTTTTCTAGAACTGCGTCAGCAGTGCGTCGATCTAATTTTTCGTTACTTTGATCATAAGCTATATCATGTGTTTTACAAGCTCTGTCTAAGCTATTTATACCTACGTCACCACGCAACAAACGTTTTTTCAACTTTGTTCCTGGCCCACAAAATCTATAAAATTAATCAATTAATTTAAGTAATTTGTGTATATTTTAAAATTATTACTGATAGCCGCCTGGTAAATGTAATTCCACGGGAGTTTTATTTATAAGGTAGTTCAATAACCCACCACCTTTATTGTTCCTCACCATTCGAGTAGGTTTCATCGTGTGTGATATTTATTTATCACACATCAACATTTATATGTAAATTAATAGAATGCGTTTTTTCGAGCATAAAAACAAGCTTGTAGTTCAGAACGTTGATACACTAGGAACTGATGAACAAAAGTTTAAACGACATGGATCTTTATTTCCTAATACTATAAGAGGTTTAATTGTAGGTCCTTCGGGCTGTGGTAAAACTAACGTTATCTTTGCTCTGTTAACAGATATTAACGGTGTGAGATTCGAAAACGTTTATATTTACAGTAAAACATTACAACAACCAAAGTATATAACATTAAAGAATATTCTAGGCGAGATAAACGGTATAAAACTTTTTACGTATCACGAAAACGATAGTGTTATACCCCCTGAAAAAGCACTTGGCAACTCAATTTTTATTTTCGATGACGTGATATGTGAAAATCAGAATGTTATCAAATCGTATTATTCACGCGGTAGACACAACAACATAGATTGTTTTTACCTTGCACAATCTTATTCTAGAATACCAAAGCACCTTTTAAGGGATAATAGCAATTATATATTATTATTTAAACAAGATGAACTTAATCTTAAACATGTATTTCAAGACCATTGCTCTGGAGATATGAGTTTTAAAGATTTTAAAACGTTTTGCATGACCGGTTGGAACCGTGAAAAATTTGGATTTGTGGTTATTAGTAAAGATGATCGTAGAGACGATGGACGTTACCGTTTTGGGTTCCATTGCTTTGTTACTATATAAGACAAAAATTTGTGTAGTCGAGTAGTCGGCAATTATGCAAAACGAGAAATTGTTGCTAACCAACTTAATACAAGCAAAAGAGAACATTAAACGTAAATTTAACGATTTAAAACAAGGACGATTAAATAATGAATTTTTTATTGCAGACACATTAAAGCCAATTATATCCCCTCTAGAACGTATAGCGAGTCTTAATGAAAAAGATAATTATATTAGAGAAAATAATGAAAAAAATGAAATACTTAAACAAGAAAATGTTGTTAATGAGGTCGGTGAATTCGACAACAACAACACATCCTCTGTAAAGCAAGAGGATGATTTCTTAATAAAACTAAATCGATACATAGGTGAGAATAAAAAACAATGGATTAACTCAGAGCAATTAGATAAATTGTATGGTCCAAAACTGGGAGACACGGGAGAAATAATATCCTATGGAAAATCAAGAGATGTAATTTTTGATTGGCAAAATGGATCGCTCTTTATTGATAACAATCCTTATCCACTTACACGTGGTTTAATTCAACTTATATTTAACAAACATCCGGTAGATTACAAAAATGAGGACTTGGAAATTTACAAACTAATTCTTATAACAACATCAGCTCACTTGAAAGCTGATAAAAATCAAATAAAAAAAGGTGGTAAAAAATATACCGATATTGTAGGTAAATTGTTTACTTCTGGAGGTGAGCTTTCTAAAACACTTTTACAAAACTATAAAGAAACGTATATTTTTTGGGATGATCCAAACGAACTAGTGTCAAGGTTGAAGCTACTCCTGTCTTCAAAAAACGCTGGTAACTCTGGTTTAGACAATGAAATAATATCAATTTTTGAAGAACTATTAGAATCCGGATATATTAAACGATTGCCTAAATATGTCTAGATTTGATATAGCGTTTGAATTACACAAACCGGCTAGAAAAAAATTCCCTAGAAGAAGAGTCAACGTTAACGGTAAAAACGATCTTTGGGAAGCCGATTTAATAGAAGTTATTCCTATCGCAAAATTGAATAAGGGTTATAAGTATATACTTTGCGTGATCGATTGTTTTACTAAATATGCTTGGGCAGTCCCAATAAAAAATAAATCTGGAAAAACCGTTGCCGAAGCTATAGCTAAAATATTTAAAATACGTAAACCACGGCTTTTGCACACTGACGGAGGAAAAGAATTTTTTAATTCACATTTTAACGAGCTTGTAAAAAAATATAAAATCAACCATTACTCAACCTATAGTACAATTAAAGCATCCATTATAGAACGTTTTAATAGAACATTAAAAACAATCATGTATCGTGAATTCACCGCTAGAGGTTCTCGAAAATGGATTAATATATTAGACTTGTTGATGGAAAAATATAATAACAGTAAACATCGTACGATTGGAATGACACCAATACAAGCTGATAAGAATCCGTTATCGGTGAAATTTAATCATAGAAAAGTTTTAAAATCTAAAGCTAAATTCAGAATAGGTCAAAAAGTGCGTATATCTATTTATAAAACTTTGTTTATTAAAGGTTATATAGCTAATTGGTCGAGTGAAATATTCACTATTGCAAAAGTAAACAACACCTTGCCGGTGACTTATATGTTAGAAGATTACACTGGTGCGCCTATAAAAGGTTGTTTTTATGAGCATGAAATACAACTGACTAAATATCCAGACGATTTTCTCATAGAGAGAATTATTAAAAGAAAAAACTCTAAAGTATTGGTGAAATGGTTGGGTTATGACACTTCTCACAACTCTTGGATATCTGTGAATGATATAAAAAGTGATGAAAATTAAATTTTATCAGTTTATTGAAGTGGTATTGAACCATGAACATATTCGGCGCTTCGATAGAGAGCAAACGAAACAAACAACTCATTCAGCTTCAAAATTCCAATGATACTATTACAAAAGACATTTTATTGCTTCAATCGAGATTTAACAATATTGAAAGTAAAACAAAATTATTGACAGATGATGTATTAAAAATTCAAAATTCCAATGAAAATATTACAAAAGATATATTATTGTTTCATTCGAATTTTAAAAATAATGAAAGTAAAACAAAATTATTATCAGATGATGTATACCTAATAAAAACATTAATTGCAAATATAGACGCAAAAATAGAGTCCATAGAAAAAAATACAAAAATATTAACTAGTGAAATGCAAGAAGTGAATTTTAAATTAAACAATCATGCTAATGAGATATATAATATCAACTTAAAGAATAAAACATTAATAAATAAGTCTTTCGAACCTAATAAAAGGGAATATAACAGTAACGTCCAAACACGAATGTGAATACACCTAAAATTCCGAAAAAGAATTAAAAACATGACTTCAGCAATTTTCGACGTACACTGCGTGCTCGACTCATACAATAATTATCACATAAAAGAACTATCAGTTCTTGATATAGATGTATTTAGCGAACATACTTGGATATTTAAAAGTTCTTTTGTTCAAAACGATAAATCACACGCTGTAAATAAATGGTTGGAACGACACTACCACCGAATACCTATTTGTTATGGTTATGTAAATATAGAAGAAATCTATCCGCTATTAAATTCGATGAAATATGATATTATATATGTGAAAGGTGAACAAAAGAAACAACTTTTACAAAATCTTTTTTCAAAACCATGTCTTATAATAAACCTAGAAACTATGCAGTGTCCGTCAATAGATAACTTGTATAAAAATAGTACTTTTCCATGTGCATGTTCCACAAGGATTTGAGTCCACACAGATGTACACTATTTACAGCACACAAATTGAAGAAATGGTATTTGGATAGTGTATAATTATAAATTGAAAAAAAAAAAACTTTATATTGTACGTTAATATAATGTAAATTTATTAATAAAAAAAAAAATTATTATCATTACAATATATGTATTTTTTTTTATTTTTTATTTATCCATTTAATATAATATAAAATTTAGTAAAATAAGATTGGTTATATTTAAGTAGAAAATTATTTGTCATCCCATTGTGAAAAATAACTTGCTAACGGTTGACTGTTAAGATCATTAGAAATAGCCTCTGTTTTTTCCAAAGACGGTAGATCAATAGTTTCTCCACAACCAACGTTCTACGAGAAAAAAATATTATAAATATATCTATTTTTTTTTAATAATTATTAATTATTTGTTACCTCTTGGATGTTATTTATTCTTTTTTCATTTAATCGTTCAAAAATGTTCCTATGCATCAACGCTAAGATTTCATAAGCATAACTATAACCATGCTTTTCGGTGATAAATCTCGCAGCTTGGTGATAATTGGTTTTATTAATAGTCGTATCTATTGTATTATAATCATATAACACATTATCTTTGGTGCATATATTATGATAATATTCAGTAATTTCGTCATACTGCATTTGAATAACTGGTTTATTCATAATGTTTTGACGGTTAATGGCATCCATGATCATACATTCTAAGTTCAATAATGTTGTTAAATGTTCGTATTTTAAAATAACTTGACATCTTGGTTGACTTCTTGATTTTATTAATAACACATTTTTCTCACGGTAAACGCTTTTACTTATCGATGTTGAATCGTCCTCAAGTAATAATACATGTTCTTTTTTAATCGGATCAGATAATATCATAGATAAAATGTTACCCATCGAATTGTAAATACACTTTAAAGTATCCACTGTGATTGAAACATTTTGTAAAGGTGATATAATACGAACTGCTGTATTAAATGTCTCGTTAGACTCTACACCGATTAATATAAAAAAATTTTCATTAGTACTCAATCTGTACATTAAACAATTTATCAAGTTATTTTTGGAAAAAAAATCATCTTCTCTCATAATTTTCATATTATTCAACATTGCCTCGGCCATGATAATCAAACTGTGTTAGTAAATCAAGACCAAACACTGTGAACACAATAAACTGAATGATAGTAGTTTATTTGGTGTATTAAAAATATAAAATTGAAATGAAAATAATCACTTTTTTTTTTTTCATCTACTGATCAATTTTCTCATCCCCACTCTTACTAATTCCATCATTGATACAACGAACTTAATTGCATAATTAAGATAGTTATTATTTCTTTTTGATTTTTCAAGTGAAACGAGTCGATTTGTATTATTTTCCACAAGTTTATACAATTTGTCTATATTGTAAGTTAAATCTTCAACTTGATGCAATAAATTGAATTCCACCCCTTTTATCGTAATTTTCAATTCGTTTATTTTTTCTGTATTAGTAGAGACTGCGTTGTTTATATTTTTTATTTTATCTTCATGTTTATACCGCTGACATTCCGTCCAACAATTAAATACTTCCATAACCAAGTATGTCTTAACTGGTCAATGGTTTGAAGGTTAATAGGAAAAAGTACAAGTGTTTATGTTAGTTAACAAATATACAGAATACTGAATAACGGTACAAATTAGTAGTTTTTACATAATCATCAATATATACTAATATATAGTAAAGTACCCCACCCAGAGACCGGTTCATACACGTGCGATCTGTACCATCCTATATACACGTGTATACAAACGACCTAGTACAACAAATCAATGACCGCGGCACCTTTGTGTGCCAGCTCCCGCTTTCTATATACTACTTATAATATATAATAATCTATCCATTATAATTATTAACATAAAAATATTACTTAATGATTGCTGTGTAGGGTATGGAGCTAATAAGTCCTCTTTCATTCACTAACATTTTTAGCTCAGCTAATATACAAATAATGAACATGTAAATGATTGTCTAATGATTATTACATTTATAATATTTTTTTTTCCACTGTCATTAGTAAAATTTTAATTTCTAACATATAAACTTTTTTGAACTATACTACTACTATAATACAATAAACAAAATATTAATACATTACTAATGATGAAACTTTTTATGAATCACTTGAAAGTACTACGAAATAATAAAGAAAATTCTATAATAATGTGCGAGAAAAACCATGATTGAAACCATGAAAAAACAATCGGTTACTTAACTTGACCATAGGGATTGATTATTATCAATGCGTATTGAAGAAAAGTCACTGGGGAAAACATATCTTTTTATCACCCTGTAAATTTTTTTGCATTCATCAAATTATTAGTAAAATAAAATCAAATTTTGGATTTAAAATCTTTTAATGATAAAAAAAAACTATGAATAATTTAATTTAATATCTATTACATTTATAATTAAATTTAAATTTAGTTAAATGAATTTGAAATGTAATATTTCAAATTTTATTTCCTAAAATCTAATTCGGATTTTAAATTTATAAAATTAAATTTATCAAATCTTTAACAAAATGTTTTCAAACCTTAAAATTATAAAATAATCAATATATTATGTCAAAATTAGCTTTTATTTATGTATAAAGAAATTTAATTTTGACATAATAGTTCAACACAACCTTTAAATAAATTAAACAATATTAACTACTAGAAAAGAGTGCAAAAGAAAGTTGAATAATTCTCACATACTTACTATTAAGTATTATTATTAATATTAAATACTATTTTTGATATTTCACAAATGAGTATTAAAATAAATGAAATTATGACTATGATTATAATGTTAATGATTATAAATATTTATCATAATCATTTTTTTAATGAAATAAAAAAATATATACATATTATATATAATAATATACATAAAATAAAATAAAATAAGTTATACAATTTTACTGTGCCACTAAATATTGTTTTATTTTAGAAATACTATTATATTATTGTTAATATAGTTTATTATTGTTAACACTTACCACATACTACTTGATTATCCATTATTTAAAAATAATAGAATAATTTTTACAACTTTTAAATTAAAACAAAACTGCAATTAATTCACTGTGAAACTTATAAAAAATATGTGCAAATTATTATGACGTGACGCGCCGTTTGTAACATGTAACACAATCTGATTAAACAGAAAAATGTTTTGGTAATAATAGTATTTTATTTTATGTGTATTATTAAAAACTTTATTTAAACTTAATTTTAACGAATCATTAGATTTAATTACATCTAATTTTTACAATTTTTAAGCTGATAAAGTTGATCGGNTTTACAACTTTTAAGCTGATAAAGTTGATCGAACTGATAAAACCAATGAAATGATTAAAATTACAATTTTTACAAAAATACACGTTTATTATAGGGAAATTCTATGTGCAGGGCTCAAATGCAATCTGACGCAAAATTTTTTTTTTTGTAATTGTAGCTTAAGAGTTCTTCTACAACATGCATGTATTGGTGTAATCGTAATATTGCGTAATTTTGAGTTAAACTCTTTAAAAAACAATGTAAAATAAGTATTTGCATTTTTTTGTGTGTAAAAAATTATTAAAATTAAAAAAAAAAAGAAATAAAAATTTTTTCTTAGTAAATTTGAAAGCCGATGACTTTTTAAACATTTTAAATTAAAAAAAAAAAAATTAAGGTTTTTAATTAAGCAGGAAAAAATGATTGAAGAAATAATAAAAATCCTAGAAAAAAAACAAAAAAATACAGTGTTATGATATTTAAATAGCACCCAACCATTACTATATCAATTTTTGGCCTTGAATTTTTGTACATGACCTTATAAGGATATAATAAAAAAAATTTGCTAAAAAAAAAATTTTTATTAGTTGATTTAAAAATGGTACTTTTGGCCGGCTAAATCAGCGTTTGGTCCCACTGTGCACTGGGGGCATAGATTAAATACAATGTGTATTTAATCTATGCTGGGGGGATTTAAAATAGCAACTTATTTACAAAAACTAATTTGTTCAACTTAACTTTTGAAAATGTTCCGGAAATACTGCGTCCTTTAAACATATACAATATTAAAAGTTATGTCATGTAATATAAAATTAAAAAAAAAAAAACCCCAGCACAGTGGGGTGGCGGCACAGAAGGGTCATGGCATAGTAGGGTCCAGTAAAGATGATATCTGACAGTGATTAAAATCACTATCATAAAAAACGCTTCGATTCAAATCTGTAGCATATTTTTGAATACGGTAGCCATTTGCGCATAGAAGATAGGTCGTCGGGACAAATTTTTTTATTTTATTTTATAGTACATAAAATAAGTTAAATTTAACATATGTTTAAAGGACGCAGTATTTCCGGAACATTTTCAAAAATTAAGTTGAAAAAGTTATTTTTTGTAAAAAAGTTACTATTTTAAATCCCTCCAGTGAGCAGAATAAGTGTTAGATTTTCAAAGAAAATTATATCAAATGAAAGGGAAATATCTAAGGTTTCAATACAAAAAAATATTATTTTTATTTGTTCATTTTTGAAAAAGTTATGGCAGTTTTAAGTACAAAAAACATCCCGATAAAATGTAATTTTTATCGCAAACATTACATTTTTTTTTAAATTTTCGACAGCCATTTGCACATAGAAGATAAGATGTCGGGACAAATTTTTTTTTTTCATTTGATAGTATATAACATAACCTTTGATTTGATATATGTTTAAAGGACGCAGTATTTCCGGAACATTTTCAAAAGTTCAGTTGAAAAAGATCTATGTTTTTTACAATATTTTAAGTTTTGAACGCCCCCTATATAAGGGGAAATTGTCCAATTTTAATAAAAAGTATGTCAAATGAAAGATGTACTTATAATGTATTTAGAAAAAAAAAATTTGTGCTGATATATACATTTTTCAAAAAGTTATAGCATTTTTAAGTTGAAAATTTAAAATCGAAAATCGAAAATTTTAACACAAAAATAGTGTTTTTTTAACTACGGCAGCCGTTTAAATGTAGAAAAAAAAGTGTCGGGACAAATTTTTTTTTTTCATTTTGTAGTACATAAAATAAGCTTTAATTTGATATATGTTTAAAGGACGCAGTCTTTCCGGAACATTTTCAAAAATTAAGTTGAAAAAGTTATTTTTTGTAAAAAAGTTACTATTTTAAATCCCTCCAGTGAGCAGAATAAGTGTTAGATTTTCAAAAAAAATTATATCAAATGAAAGGGAAATATCTAAGGTTTCAGTACAAAAAAATATTATTTTTATTTGTTCATTTTTGAAAAAGTTATGGCAATTTAAAGTACAAAAAATATCCCGATAAAAGGTANCGCGATATTATGCGAAGATTATATATTCCTATCGCCACCGCTAATATTAATATATATATATATATATTAATATTTATACGTATATGTTAATATTCATTTATATATTCTTACAGCCGACGCCTCTGCTGCCGTATATGCCTCGTGTATAATGTTCCCTCCGCCATGCCCGCCCACATAAACACGGCTATACCTCATGCATGATACGTTTACGTACTTAAGTCCCTTTAAATATATATATATTCTAATTACTATTAAAACTTATATATTAATACACTTTATTCTCATTAAGAGATATGTAGTGTATTCATTCCGATTACGGAGGATGATTCTCGTATCGTTATTTTTCGTCACTACCTCCACGTTACGCGCCTGCTGCTTTCCTTGGATGTGGTAGCCGTTTCTTAGACTCCCTCTCCGGAATCGAACCCTTATTTCCCGTTACCCGTTACAACCATGATATTGATATTAACTACTATCATAACATGAAACTAAAAAGTGAAAAATAAATATAGTTTTTTTAAACTATATTTATTTTTATTTCAAACATTACATTTTTTTTAAAATTTTCGACAGCCATTTGCACATAGAAGATAAGATGTCGAGACAATTTTTTTTTTTTTCATTTGGTAGTATATAATATAACCTTTGATTTGATATATGTTTAAAGGACGCAGTATTTCCGGAACATTTTCATAAGTTCAGTTGAAAAAGATCTATGTTTTTTACAATATTTCAAGTTTTGAACGCCCCCTTTATAAAGGAAAATTATCCAATTTTAATAAAAAGTATGTCAAATGAAAGATGTACTTATAATGTAATTAGAAAAAAAAATTTGTGCTGATATATACATTTTTCAAAAAGTTATAGCATTTTTAAGTTGAAAATTTAAAATCGAAAATTTTAACTAAAAAATAGTGTTTTTTTAACTACGGCAGCCGTTTAAATGTAGAAGATAAAGTGTCGGGACAAATTTTTTTTTCATTTTATAGCACATAAAATAAGCTTTAATTTGATATATGTTTGAAGGACGCAGTATTTCCGGAACAATTTCAAAAATTAAGTTGAAAAAGTTAATTTTTGTAAAAAAGTTGCTGTTTTAAATCCCTCCCAGTGAACAGGTTAAGTGATAGATTTTCAAAAAATGATATCAAATAAAAGAGCAATGTCTAAGGTTTTAGTATAAAAAAAAATATGTTGATTTGTTGAATTTTGAAAAAGTTATTGATATTTTTAGAAAAAAAAGTAGAAAAATCACAAAATTTACCGATTTTTAAATTTGTAATTTTTTTGGATATTTCCCCTATTTGCGGAAAACGAGGGAAGTTTTTTCAATTTTTAAGGGTAATGTCTTCAACTAGATACGATTTGTGATCTTTTGACGTATCGTTGGAAGAAATCGGTTCAGTGAGAGCTGAGAAAAAGTGGCAACAGTCATAAAAAAAAAAACACATCATAGTAAAATTAATACCTTCGCATCGAAGCTAAAATTTTCACGAAAGCTATCTTTTATGCGCAAATGGCTACCGTATTCAAAAATATGCTATTTTTGTGTTAAGATCCTGGATTTTATATTTCATTTTATTTTAAAATATCTTATAAGGGCAATATATTGACTTTCATAAATATTATTTAATTGAATTGACATAGAATAAAGTTCATGAGACTTAAGAAATTAAACTTATTAAATTCTTTTTACTTTTTTAAAGTCGAAAAAGTAATTTTTAAATTTGAGTTAGCTTAAATACCTAATTTTAGCTTCTATGCGAATTTTTTATATGAAAATACTAATTTTTAATTATATTAAAACTTAGAAGTGTTAGAAAAAGTCTAATTGCAGATTTGAAAACATCGCGAAAAGTTGATTTAGAATGGTATATTTTTGTTACTGATGAAAGTTTCTTGTAGTTCAGTGCATTTATTTATAGTAACAAACAGTTTTTATTGAAATTTATTGTATCAAGCCCTTTAAATTTTTATACACGTAAAAATAAAATAAAATACAACTTCTTAATTATTTTTATAATTTCTCCGTTTAAACTACAATATTAAATTATTGAATATCAATTTCATACTAAATTTAATAATTATAATTAGTATTTATTCATAATTTATATTTTAAAATCAAAGAACTACTAATTAGGATATAATCAAAGAAATAAGAGTGATGTTGCTTTTGGAATAATCCACCAATCTCTCTAAATGAAACACTATCTACAGATCTATTTAATGATGTCAATTTCAAACTTGCAAATTGACCTTAAAAAGTTATAGTAATAAATTCATTTTTTTTTCATTATAAACTTTCATTTTAAAAGACAAAAAAAAGTAGTCTAAAAATTATTACTTTTAACATATTAAAAATCAATAGNTCAGATTTAATTATTTTTATTAATTTAGCATCATCAGCAAACATAAGGATATTAGAGTTCATTATAACATTAGGCAGGTCATTAATAAAAATATTAAATAGAAGTGTAGACAGGTGGTCTCCTTGAGGAACGCCTGAAGGGACTGGGAAAAGTGACGATTTGAATTTGAGGTATTTAACAATTTGGGAACGGTCTGAAAGAAAAGATTGGAACCATTTAAGAAGTGATCCAGAGAAACCAAAAGATTGTAATTTTTTAATAAGTAATACATGATTAACTTGGTCGAAGGCTTTGGAAAAATCAGTGTATATTATATCAGTTTGAGCATTAGATTCAAATGACTGAAGTATTAAGTTTTTTGTTATGGCTAAATTATTACATGTTGAGCGTTTTGGTATAAAACCGAATTGATTATTTACTAGGACTGAGGAGCAAAAATTGTTAAGTTTAGATGAAATTAAGTGAGAGAATAACTTTGGGATTGATGATAATTTTGAGATTGGGCGATAATTTGAAATTAGTGAAGGATTACCCTTTTTTAAAATAGGTGAAATAAACGACGTTTTCCAAAAAGATGGATAGGTACCACTAGCGAGGGATAAATTAAAAATACTAGTTAATATCGGTGTTAGGATAAATCTACAATTATAAAGGAAATCACTATCAGATTAAATCTTTCCTGGACCCAACTATGCCGCGTTCCCACTGTGCCGCGAACCCACCTTGCTGGGTTTTTAAAACGCTTATATTAATTACACATGTATTTAGGTTATGAATTGTGTGTAACTTTCCACTCGGCACGTGTTATTATTCTCGCGTATACCGTCGTCTATGACCTTGAGACTAGACGTCGTAATGCATTCACCCCACCCTGCTCACCACATTAATCCTGTATAATTTTATATTTTTGGTTTTCGTACCCGTACACACGTGCATGACATCAATTATATATATATATATATTCGAAAATGGTTGTTCTCCTCCTACGATGCCATCTACTGGAGGATATTTATTATTGAATTAAAAACTCAAACATTTTATTAAATTAAAAATATGTGTTACTATTTAAAAAAACAAAGTTGACACCCTTACCAGGCATAAGGGATGAATTTAAAAATTGTTACATAGTTAATAATTCAAGAATAATGTGTAACTAAAAATAATAATAAAAAAAAAATTTTAAATTATTATTATTCTATAAGTAATTGAGTGGGATATGATAAAAAAATCACCCTACATACGTTGATGGGTAATATTCTGTCCCTAATTCTCGACCCGGTATCAAAACAAAGGATTATTACACTCAAGGATGAATACGTTACACTCTCAAAGACTATGTTTCAAGTAGAGTCTTCGTTAGTTTTTGAATCACAAGCACAGGATGAATGCTGAGTGTTACTCACCCGATCAGATATTTTAAAACTCAGCGCTTTGGAATGTTGTATCTTCGAGACTATCAATTAAAAGATGACTGTAATTCAACCATTTGTTCTACAACAGTTGGAACAGATAGCTCAATATATGAAATCTTAGTATGAAGTAAATGTGGAAAACAAATGTATATTGATCAATGCGGTTTCGGATTATACGATTATAAATAGTTTATCCAATAGCGATCTGAGCTACATAAGCCAAATAAAACAATTTGCAAATCAGCAGTTGGAACAACGGTGGACGATGCTGGAAGAATATACTAAAGAAATGGTGAATTACATTTTTTTTTTTTTAACTGAGTAGACCGTATTTAATAAATATATAACATTTTTTCTGTCTTCTAACGAAGAAAACGTATGCTCGACATTTTTTGGGTCGCTGGCCGATGATACAACAGATGCAAATATACAGTCGGAAACAATCATACCATCAAGTACAAACAACCAAGAAATACCAACAGTAGTTGTTAGTAATAGCTATCCGTCGTAAAACGACAAGTATCTAAAATATGTATATAATTTATAAAAAAAAAAAATTGTTTAAAATAAACGTATGTTGCATTGACAAAATAGTGCTGTATTAATAAATACTTAAACTGAGACATAGTGAAAATCTCGTTTTTAACGGAATTTGTAATGAAAATATTAATGGATGCAAAGACTATAAATACGTTTAAAGAATAATGTTTAAAATAATGATTATTATCTAGGATTTTATTTCTCTAATAACATTATATGAAAAAAACTATGTTTCTATAAAACTCAAATCATTTTTCTTCTTCAGAAAGGTTAAAACATGGACAAAAACCTAACTGTATAATATCATATGCATGTAAAATACCGTAGGGTATTCCTAGAGTTTTGGTGGATAATATCTTACCATCAAAATGTGACATCTCATTACGTAACTATAGTTTAAATACTATGGCATCTTACATCTACAACTATTGTACTGTACAGAAGAGAAAAAAACGTTGTAGTATATCTATATATATTTACAGATGTGTACACGTATATACATATGTTTTTTAGAAAAAATACGATTTCTTACTAAATTATGTTACATTAAAAAAAAAAAAAAATGTTTCAAAACTACTTATATACTAATACATGTATATTTACAAAAAAAAAAATTGTTCAATTATGAGCAATATTTTTTTACAATGATAAACTTAAAAACTATAGGTCTTCCGGTGGTGGTATAGCATAATGCCCGTGGGCCAACGTGTCGATTCTGTTGTCGAGCGTGTAGCGCTTATCATCGAAACGGTTAAGCGCCAACTTGGTTGTACGTAAAGTACGTAACTCGTGCTCAAAAGAACGGATTGATACGTTCTATCGGTACGAAGTGTATGGTAGCGATAATGTCGGTGGAGACTCACCACTACGTATCACTCCGATGACCGCACGGGCATTCTCTCAAAGCTCGTTTTGACGCATCGTCACCATCGCCATCGTCTTTAAACAAACACCGTTGGTAGTCGTCCAAAGACAGATGGTTCCGGACGACGTGTCCGCGGATCCCCTTTGACTTTATGAGTTCGCTGCNGTGTCCGCGGATCCCCTTAGACTTTATGAGTTCGCTGCCTTCCATGTCAAATGCGTAGCACTTTGATCGAAGTGCAGCGATCTCAAAGAGAGTGAGGCCACTGGTCTCGTCTGAAAACAAGCCGGGCATCTTCTTTCTATCGGTGGAGTAGCAAGGGTGATCCTTGGGCAGGCTAGATGCGTCCACGTGCACCAGTAAATCGGGGCTATCAGCTAAATCCTGGTAGAAGTCGCCTACTCTGAGTAGGTATATGAAGGAGTCTGAGAAAAATTAAAAAATATATAAATATAAAAAATATTTCTACTGTACGGTTGTACTCACCAGTATCCATGTAAACCAATTCGATTGCACTGCCATAATGTGGTTTCAATACGTCGTAGAAGTACTTGTACATTAGCGTCTTGCTAATGTCAAGCACTGCTAAACCGACGTATATTGGTTTGATAAACTTGACCATCTTTGTGTCCATTATGACGGCGCACAACCTTTCACCGTATTTGATACAGTCGTTGAAGGTTGGTTGGTTTACGAGCTTGCTTAGACGTTCGGGACTGGAGATTAGCTCAATGCGGATGCGTTTCCGCATGTTCTCCATTGTTTTCCCTATAAAATGTAAAAAATTATCGAATAACCCACTTTAGCATTGAGCATGCACTTACCAAAGACGGCACTATTCATTAGTTTGAAAAATGCTATTTCAAAAGCATTTGCCGCCTTTTTCCGCATTTCAGTGTTCAACTGAATGTATGGTTTCAACNTCAGTGTTCAACTCAATGTATGGTTTCAACCAAGCACTTTATTGAAACTCTAAAACGCGGTGCACCTGCAGTACAAATATTTATATTAGTATCATCGCTTATAGTTTATAGGTTAATTATACATTTTTTATCGACTTGCAGTCCGTGTGCAATTGCCTGTTTTAAGTTGACATAGTGTACGACGTACCACTGTTTGGGTTTCAAAGTGGCCTTGAGTTTGGTCTCTTTGGAACCCGGCGGTACATCGTTGACAGGCAAGAACGGCAAGTCGTTTTGCTCGTCAAGCAGCTCTTGTGTATACGATACGTCCACTTCATATATACGCCCCGTATTACCAGTGTCCGACAACGATTGGAGGTCAGCCAGAGGATCTGCTCCTTTATACCACCGGAAGCCACCGTACGGCATGGGCTGACTCATAGCCCACCCGTAAAGTTTATTGCCTGTATACATTAAACGTTTTTAAACCATCGCTCAAGTATATATATACGTATAGATTACTTACAGTCTTGGTACACGATCCATGAGTCTGGTTTTGACGGATTGTAATCGGGTATCTTAGGATTGTTGGCCTTTGCATAGTGGTTGCACTAGCCCACCACGAATGCCCTGTCCCACCATCAGTAGCATGTCGTAGTCGTTCAAGAGCTCCAGATTCATCCTGGTGTATTTCAACATACAATCGAAGCTAAAACCAGGCGCAGTATAATAGTGCGCCGGGTCCAAATTGTATGTTGAAATACAGATGTCGCAGAAGTTCTCAAACACTTCAGCCAACGACATAACATCGATCTCAAGATATAGGTCGCTGTACTCACCGAGGGTTGAGCAGTCGAAACGGTTCCACACCTCCGTGGCATGTCTATAGTCTTCTTCATCGTGTTTTGTGACCGAAATATACTTCTCCTCGAAATTCGGTATGACCGAAATCCTTTGGTCGTCGTACCCCAATTCAGTAACTATGAAATGTGAGTCGTAACCTGAAAGATTGTGCAAGAAGCACGGCACAAAGTTGACCGTCTTTACTTTCAGGTTACAAGCATTGCACAACGTCTGTCTGAATTTATCGGGCCGATAAATGACAGAGGTCTGCGACCTTGGGGTTGGAATCCTTAAATGCTGTAAGGCACAAGTCGCATACCACTTTCACCCCGTGCCTGCGCACATCGTCGACAGACATTCGGATGGGGACGTTGGTTTTGTGCAACAATTTAGAAATGTTGCGCGTCACTACAGTAACTGTAGTAACTGTAACAGCCATCACAGATGCCTTGGCTACCGCTTCGCGATCCTCGGACCCACGGTATATCACCGGTGATTGTGGTATACCGTAGTGTTCGAGGAGCTCGGAGGGCACATCGTCCGATGTTTTCACTATAAACCCATAGCTCATGGGATGATGGATGCGCACAGTCCTAGTATAGGCACCCATACGATCGTCTGTTTTCTCCAGTAAGGTCTCAAAATCGGCGTAGATGACGAACGGTAACCGTTGCGTCTTTACCCACCCGTCAAATTCGACCTTACTGCCTTTTGCCGGCATAACGGGTAAAATTGGTTTATTTTTGCCGCATATCAACTTGTGTTGCTCAAACGCTTGTTGACCCCGAAGAATATGCTTTTTAGGCATATCATCAAAGCTGGTGAAACAACGTTTACAAGTGTATATGCGGCATTTGTGATTAATTTTTTGGCTGCGTACGAGCCTCGAAAAATCGGAAATGTTCGCGTAATGTGACTTTTCAGAGTCACCGATGTACAACAGGTCAAAATGATTCTGTTGCTCTTGGTCGGCGACTCTTAGCGGATACACCAACCACTTCATCTTATCGTCGTCTCGTTCCAAGCCGTACACGTTGATAGACACATTAGGGTTTCGTCGTTCAAATATTTTAATTTGGGACACAGGTGTGGGGAACGTCAACCCCGTGAAATCATACCTGTGTTCCCCGTTAAAATATTTTTCATTAACGCGATATTTATTACTCCCACTAACATGTCTTGCTAAAATGGACCACTTGAAATAAGACTGATCGATATTCTGTTGGTTGATGATTGCTTTTCTTTGGTTAATCTCTGGTGGGACAGGAATATATGATGAGCCGACGAGGGGCGTATACTTATATACTTATGTACGCTGAGCATGAAGCCGTCGATATGCGTTAGCTTGATTCCGCTTTCCCTCCCCGAGTACGCATCTTTCTCGGTGAGCATAAGCTCAAAATCTTCATTGACCGCATACCCGATATCCGTATCGGATAGCAATGCCCTAGCCCCTGTCTTAAAGGCACGGTCTTCGGACGGTGCTTCTGATCGCGGTATATGGTATGAGGCCTCCAATTTGAGATTATACTTGATCGGACGGTTATCTACGATTTCAGCGAGTCTGGCCACCAGCTCGGGTTTAACGGTGCGCAGAAAATCTCGATAGCTCACGAAATTTTAGACGTTCTTCCGGTAAAACCAAACGGCTCCCCGCTCCAATGCGGAATTGATCTCGGTGAAATCACTGGTATCCGTCAATTGCATACGTAACCTTTTCGACCTAACCGCACTGTTGTTGGTCCTACTACGCTTAGCCGCCTGACGTGATGAAACAGATGTCACGGAAGTAGCTTTAATCAAAAACGAAATAAATAATTTATTTATTGGAAAAAAAAATTTAAAAAATTAAAATAGTAGGGGTGGTAAAATTAAAGAAATATTAAAATGTTAATAATTGTAAAAATCTACATACCTGTTACAGAAGACATTTGCTGGTTCATGATTTTTTATTTGCGCGTGTAAAATATTAAAATAATAAATTTATAGTATTAAAATAATCAACTGTGCGTTAAAATCAATTAAACAAGTATGTGACAGGATATAGAGCGTTTAGCCAGTTATATATTAAAATAACAAAACGCGTAGGCGTGAAAAAAGACAAGGTTGCCATTTTTCTCATAAAATGCATACGACAGTGACCATTAATGTATGGTATGTAACATCTTTGACGTTGGAAATATGATTACCTAAGCGTCTGGTATCTGATGATAAGATTCATACGACAATAATCATTACTGTGCGGTGACCTCTTTGATGTTTGAAATATGCTTATTTAAGCGTCTGGTAGTCTGGGTTATAATATGGCGGTACCTTTGACGTTGGAAATATGCTTATCTAAGCGTCTGGTAGGAAATGATAAAAATTCTTAGAAAAAGATAACTTTGATAAAACGCAGACAGCAATTATAAAATGTAGACGGTAATGTGGGTTATAATATGGCGGTACCTTTGATGTTGGAAATATGCTTGGCTTTGCATCTAGTAGCTAATGATAAAATCTTTAGAAATTATTTATAACATACAATATATAGATGTGCGGCAAGTTTGTTTACGTCGGTTTTCATACGCACCTTTCCCATTAGGTTAGTTTCAGTTAAGTTTCATTACCCCTTCGCAAAGTAGGACTTATTGAAGGATAACGACGTTATAATTATTATGTATAATTCAATTAATTATAACTTCTGTAATAGTGAAGGACAAGTGTGGTGACGGCGGCCGCTACTAGACGTACACTATTTCAATGTAATGTATACATTTAATGTTAAACGCAGTGAAAACTCGTGGGTGCTGGTGGTAGGGGTGCGACTTTAAATGTAATACCTCTAGTTATAGGTATAAAAAAAAATAATTGTCAAATTAAATATAATAAAATAAAATGCAATACACATATTATTATTTTAAAGGTGCAGTAGAAAATAATAATAATAATCAATAGCGATTATACTATTATAGCAACCGATAACGATGAACATAGTTAATTCTAAAAATATAATACCAATTATAGTAATTATATTAATTATATAATTAATTGTAATATACTAATATTAACGAGATACTTTTCTAAGCATCTGGTGGTAGGAAATGATAAAATACTATGTAAAAAATAAAAATGCAGAAGCCTATGAGCGTTATAATATAGTAATAAATTTGATGTCGAAAATATGCNCTAAGCGTCTGGCATCCGATGATAAGATTCATACGACAATAATCATTACTGTGCGGTGACCTCTTTGATGTTTGAAATATGCTTATCTAAGCGTCTGGTAGACGATGATAAAATTCTTAGAATTTATTATGCCATAACGACAGACGTTGTCTTTGTTTTTATAAAATGTAGACGGTAATGTGGGTTATAATATGGCGGTACCTTTGATGTTGGAAATATGCTTATCTAAGCGTCTGGTAGGCAATGATAAAAGTTTTTAGAAAACGTTGTTAGTTCAACTTGGATTCATCCCCACCCATTATAGGTTAGTTTATGTTATGTTTCATTACCCCTTTCCTATATAGGAATTATTGACGGAGACGTAGCGTTAATATTAAGTAAATATGTTAAAGTGGTAACGGCGGTCACTATTTGACGTACATTATTTCAATGTAATGTGTATGTTTATCAGTGAACGTTATCAGTTCACATGAGGTTTACCTTATCCTCCAGTAGATGACATCGTAGGAGGAGAACAACCATTTCCGAATGGCTACCTCCCCCACCACTGACATGAAGTTATTGTGCGCATGCGCACTTTAAACCGCCATTTTGATTGATCTTAACATCCCTAACTAAGTCACCTATTACCCCTACCATCGTGAGACCACGCCGCCCCTTATCCCATCATTGATAAGACCACACCTTCTCCTTACCCCTTTTTTTTTTTTTCACG